TTTTATCTATTACGCGGTTCAATGCTTAATTGAAACACTGTTGCAAAATTAAAAAAGGTTATATTTAATCTGTCAAGTGATTACTGCTTTAATCAAAATTATGAGTGTCCTTGAAGTCTTCCTCAAACAACGTGTAGTCGATTATTTAAATTCTCTTGTAATACTTGGCTACTTTTTAGTTTGGTTGAGAAAATTAGTCAATAGATATTTTTAACAATCAGATGACTTGCAACTGTATTGGCAACTCACTTTGAAGACAAATGAAGTTTACCCTGCTGGTATGTGTTACTGAAGGGCGAAGTTTTTAGTTTATCATGAGTTTGGCTTCACCGTACTTGTGTGTAGTAAAGTTCTGTCACAGGGATAAATGTATATATGGATATATGTACATCGAGATCTTTATTTCCTTTAAATCCTGTACAAAATTTTCAACATTTCTTCCTCAATTTGTGAGCTGCCAACTTTATTTCTCGATATCATACACCCTCGTCTAGTCTTCCGTGGATGTAGTCCATTTTGGGATTAGTGGTCTAAATTAATCATGTAACCGTTGTTGTCCCATTCACGTAGGGTTAATAAATCTTAATGTTATACGCGACATTTTTACGGCTAGCGACCTGCCTGTTGCCAACCCTACTTGGTGAATACCGCAATTAAATATAAGAGGACAAATGCAATACTAGTCATGCTCCCTTATTTCAAATTCTTGCCACGCAAGAAAGATCAGAAACGGCAAAAAAACCCTACTTGGTGTACATTAATATTGACAAACTAAAATTTGTAGGGTATCATTGTACTTATCCAATATTGTGTTAGAGATAATGCACAGGGTTGAACATATATGCTACTCAATGATCCCATAACACAATATATCTGGTCGTGTACAAATAATATGATTGTTTGCCAGAACAAGAGCGGGCATAAATCAGGTGCAGGAATTGGGTCACAGGCATACGAGTGTACAATATTAAACATATGTCAGTTGCACGGTAAACGAAACTAGTGGAAATTTTGTTAGAATTTTAATAAAAGTTACAATGAAAATGTTACAATACATTTCACCGCTGTAAATTATGCATATATTTTTATTATTAAAATAGTCGTGGTTTCATGTAATCTAGTGATTTATTTAAAACAATTTTATTAGTGTATTGTAAGGGATATGAATTATATTATAATAACAGGTATTATTATAGCAAATCATTATATTTATATTTCAATTCATTGATTAAGTATCATGATATAAACAGGTAGGTGGTCAAACAACTTAAAAATTGGTCGACTAAATGTAAATCTTACTAATATAATAAATACGAATGTTTAGGTGGATGGATGTTTGAAGGTATCTCTAAAACGAGTAAGAGTGGTAGAACCCGCTTAAACATCTTCGCACGAATTGGCCAGGTTCGCCCGGTGAAATACCACCACCACACAGAAAACAGGCGTGAAGTGGAAGAAATTCCGCGTTTCCCGTCCCGGAGGCCTACTTTAGTCCTCTTTCCCTTCCCACCCTTTTCTTATAAGGAAAGGATGGTAAGTGGAAGTGGACTTTCCGGATGAGAGGATGCATGGAAAGGGAAAATATTTTCTTTCTGTGCATCCTCTCCTCCGTCGATTAAAGGTAGGCAACGCATATGCAATTGCGTATGTCTATGGGCAACGGTCACTTCGCTATTTCAGCGATTTCAGGTGGCCACTCGCTCGTTTACCGCTTTCTGATATAAAAAAAAAAAACGGCTTCATGGGTTTCAATGAAATTTGGTATAGAGGTAAAACATAGTCTGGAGCATATAAGCTACTAATTATTTTTTGTTAATTCCGAGCGGACGGAGTCGCGTGCGGTAGCTAGTATAAAAGTAATCGGTTTGATCTTAAAAGTTAAAAACAGTACAGCCAAGTAACTAAATAAAACTTTTAATAGATGTATTAAAAGTCAGAAATGAAAGTTAAACATCAAAACCTTCAACCTTCAAGGGAATGATTAATGAGAAATATTTGGATTTTCATTCAACAAGCTGATCATAAAACAAAATAACGCCTGTTGGTGTTCATTTACACTTGATTGCGTTGACGTCACGTCAACGTCAAATCACGAGTAACATCCGTCATCGCGTCAGTGACGGCACGCGATCGGTTACCGCTCACTGTGTAACGACACGGAAACATTTCAAATGACTAAACACCGGATATGTTGATGTGTTTATTTAAGATACGAAATTAAATAATAAGCAATTTTAAATCTTATTTGTGCTGCATTTATGTACATTGTGTGTTGTTTCTCGTTGTCATTCTGTCTTCAGTTCTCTTACATTCCCACCGAAGATCTCGAGCCCACCCAAGTTAGAAGTAACCAGATCTGAGTCTACCACGCGGGTCAATTAGGCCTAAATGGGGATTTTATGGAATTCACACAAATCATTAAATTTCTTCTATGCATGTTTTATCATGTTTTCACCGTAAAAACGTAGGAATAAATGCACATATAATAATAAAATTCGAAAATTTGTCCTTGGATTTATTTATCACATGATTTTTAAAAATGAATTGTCTGTTTGATCTGTCTCAATGCAACATTAGAACACAAAATATCCAATATAATTCTATATTGGTTAGAATAGTAGTCTAATTTGGCTTACAATAATGTTTTCAAACATAAGAGCAATAGTTTATATAAGATTAATGGATCCCATCAAGTCTAGAGTTACTAAAATACGCTTATTAACCTTAATCGACTTTTAAAGGACCCTTGAGACTTCTTTTCTTTAGAAATTTATGACCATGAATAATAAAGATTTAGTATAAAACTTCTTTCTATTGTATTTTTACCAAAAAAAATTAATGTTTGATTTTTACAACAACCGATAATAAAGTAATTAATGTCGCAGGGAAACTATTATAAAGATTTTACTGTATTTTTTCTTGTTGTACTCAAAAACTAATTGACCAATCAATGATGAGATTGATGAAAAAAAAAAACTATTTCAATCTCTTTACGTTCCTAGCACATGAAATATAAATCACGTAGGATATTTTGAAATGTAAAAAGCAGAAAACCACATATTGAAAGAAAATATTTCACAATATTAATTTCTGAAAATAAACGAGATTTAGGAAATTTATTTCGCTCCGTTCTAATATTAAAAAGGGCGACAAAGTTAATTTGGAAACATCCGTCTGAATATAAGGAGCTATATTTTCAATTTACGTAAAACAAATATAAGGAAAATTGTAAACAATACAAAATATTTTACTAACAATATTCTTTAAAATAAAAAAAAACAGAACAAAATTCTTATACACATATACGATAAGATATAATTTTACTAATATTATAAATGCGAATGTTTCGATGGACAGTTGGATGTTTATTTGAAGGTATCTACAAAACGGCTGAACGGATCTCGATGAAATTTGGCATACATATAGAACATAACCTGGAAGAACACATAGGCTACTAATTATGTTTTTAATTACGCGCGGACGGATCTTACTTAGCTAGCTATATATTTTCAAAGATAAGAATGTATCTTCGTTAGTAATTCTACCAACCAACAGCTGTAAAAAGCTTGCAACAGTTCTAAAACAATGATTCATAATTCAGAAATCAGCACTGAAACTAGGGGCAAGATACATTGCAGTGATAAATCACTGAGTACTGAACATATTAGATAAACTAAAATCAGGTTAGCTAATGCAAAAATTGATAACTAAAAGCTTTAGAGCGTCACGGGTTAGCTTACCCAAGGCTGTTATCGCTTCAGCATACGTTTGCCAATTATTATACTGCTGTATTGCGTTGTTTGAAGTTTGTTTATCGTCAAACATATACATATGTATATTCTATTCTATGTTGAACCTACAGATCGGATAAGGATATATGTTTAGTCGATTCAAACTTGTCACTGACACAATAAGCAAAGGTAAAGCAGTTAACAAGCAATTTATTTCAAGGTGTAATAATTTAGAGTGTTCTAAAACAAAAGACAATCACTTAACCGTTAAAGAAATAGTAGTTGATATTAGAAATAAAGTTAAACATTATCATCACGGACAATCGTATTTCGAAACGTATTAGAGGAAATTGTACGTAAGATAGCTAACCATTGCAATGGTAACTAAAAAATCTATTAAAAAAACTGCGACTACTTATTTATAGACTACTTAAAAGTATTAAATCTATCCTTGGAGTGAATAAAAGATAATTAAAACTTATACTTGCAAATATTAAAAGTAAAATACAAAGAAAAATACGCGAAAGTTGCGCTTACAAGTATTAAAAGTAAAATACAAAGAAAGAAAAGTACGTGACGGAAAAGTTCCTCTTTTACATTTAATATTCCGTTTCTTAATATTTCATTTTGAGTAGGATTATCCGGGCATGTTTTAAGACTCTAAGATTCTGTTCAGTGCTTCTATACTTTTGGTGTCAGCAAATTGTGAAACAAGATAGATTTTCTTTCTCTGCTTATTACCTAGTTATATTGCTTTATAAGTAATCAATTACATTATTAACAAATATAACTTTGATGTACATTATGTGATAATTTTGCTTAAACCATTTCTTATAAAAAAAACTATGCACATTTTTTCTCACCATGAATAACCCATCAGTCAAGAAAACTAGTTTATTCATTTATATTAAAATGCCAACATATTACAATATTAATATATGAAATACTAGCTGTCGGAAGCGACTCCGTCCGCGCGGGAATTAAAAAAAATTAGAAGCCTATGTGTTCTTCCAGAAATTTACATCTATGACAAATTTCTGCAAGATCCGTTTAGCCGTTCTAGAGGTACAAACAAACATACATCTATCCATCCATCTAAACATTTGTATTTAAATGGATGGATGGATGTATTTATTTGTAAGATTGCAATCTAATAATTACCTAATTTTATGTATATTAGATTTATGGATAAAAAGTTATTTGATTTTACATATTACTAGAAATCCTTTTATCTTGTAAATGTTCATAAACGTTCGTCTTTTGTTGCAGAACTCCCCGGTGACTTCAAAGTTAAGATAAAACCTACTGAATCAATATTATTACTTAAAGTTTAAGTGAAGTGGTTAAAGTATTAAAAGTTCTGCATCGACTCTTCCGTAAACTTAAAGAAAAGCTGTCCAAATGTAGAGGTAAGTAACTCATACTTTTTTAATATTGTATTTTATTTTTGTCAATTATTGTCGAATCTTATTTTAATTATCAAAATTCTAACATTTTTATTTAATTCTATAAAGGATGGAAAGTGGAAGTGGACTTATCGGATGAGAGGATGCATGGGAAGGGAAAATATTTTCGTTTTGTGCATCCGGCGATTAAAGGTAGGCAACGCATATGCAATTGCGTATGTCTATGGGCAACGATCACTTCCGTATTTCGGCGATTTCAGGTGGCCGCTCACTCGTTTGCCACCTTATGATATAAAAAAAACCTTTCCAATTATTGTAATATTGTATTATAATTAACTGTGACTTAGTTTCAAACTTTATCTCGTACATTATCTGCAACAGTCACAACAAACTTGAAGCATTAAAATGAGCAGATGGCCGTCCATAGAATGCAGCGAACAAAAGTGTATTGTTAACACTATAATCGCACGGCGCTAAGAGATAGAGCGCGATAAATGTATATAAAGGGTGGCCTAGTTTACACCGTCGCGGTTCCTGATACGTAGCGCATTGAATTATGCCGCTTTCTTACTTAAATGAATGCGTTTTAGTTCGCAGAAGACGTCTGTGCGTTGCGTTTGTGAATTATTTGTACAGCATAAGTTTAATACTAATGGGCAATTAAGATAAAATAAATCACACAGTATGGCACGGCACACACGATGGCCCCGTAACCTACAGGATGAACTAAAAAGCTACGGATTGCGTTATCTTTTAGTTAGGATTTTCCTTGAATTAACTATTTTTTTTACTTAGCTTCTTTTCTTTTTACAGTGTTCAAATGTAAATGGTTTTTTCACTTCTAGAACTTATTACATATATTTATTGGATTAAAGTTATGTACATTAAGTTGCTATATAGTGATTTATATATTCGACTATAAATAAAATTGATTTAACATTTCATGAATATATTTAAATGTGAGTCAAATTAGTATTCGTACTCAGAGTTCCTCATTTCTAATGTATTACACGTTGCCCACTCCAATCCTAGCATTGACGACACGACAAGAAAACATGAATATTGGATTAACGGAAGGACAATAAATACTATAATCAAAAGACGACGCCGTAACTCTATTTTGCAACATTTTCGCTAATTTGATAAATATTAAATTATGATAAAATAAAAAATTAATTCCTTTTCAAAGAACCTAAACTCAAACTTTTTTATTTGTCCATACGATTTGGAATTAACACGTATAAAATTTAATTAAAAATTGTATTTCAACGTAAACTGTCGCATTTATATCTAATTACTAGCTATTCGTCTGAACTTTTAGACATTGGACGTTGGAATGAATTTATGTCCTAAATGGTTCGAAGTAGAAAATATATATAAAGTTAAGTTGTGAAAACATATCACAGCTTAGCTACGAAATTGGACGTGACATCTGTTGATATTGCGATTGTAAAAAGATTTTTGTAGAAAAAAATTCACGAAGAATTATGAAAACCCAGTGGTAATATAAAACAAATGAAAGAATGAAGAAGAAGAAGAATATATATCATAAGAGTGCCCTTTAACATTTGGGTTGGGTAGAACTGTGACCTTACCCCGGTACAGATACGGAATCAGTGATAGTATCACCATAAGGTGATGAAGCTACTAGGAGACTAAATAGTTTGACGACAGTTTCAGATTTATGCTTTTGTTAGAATCCAAAGCACCGTGGGTTTAAGATCTCCGTTTAAAACATATTGTTATCTCTGTTTTGTCCAAGATAACGACAGGGATAACGATATATGTTACAGAAATATTTTGGGCTTACAAACTCAAGGTCAATCTTCTATAAAAAACCTTCTAGAACTGCACATTAAAATCTGTTTTACTTTCATTCATACCTTCAAAGAAAACACATCATCGATCTGAATACTTCTTGTCTATTGCTATTATTTCAAATTCGCTATGAGAGAAATATCAACAAACAATCTGGAATACCAAATTCCTTAGAAATGTATTGGAGTAGTGCGAACGAAATACGAACAATGACCGAGAGATGATCGCACTAGGAATAGGCGTTGATTGAATCAGTTCGTTGAAATAACGTTCTGTTTTAACGTAACAAACGTCAACTGTTTTTCATTCAACTAGTTGATTTCAACGGACAGTTTACTAGTGATTCCAGCCGTCTTTTTGTCGCCAGTCATCGGGACTGTTTTTATTAAATGCAATATGTATTTCTCAACTCGTGGGCAAATGAACTAGTTGCTCAACGAGTTGCAGTAAGCAAAATAATGTTATGTTTTGTATAACGTGACTGAAATACCCGTCAACGACCCATCTCTAGATCACAGACGCCGGGGCCGAGGCCGTGATTGACTGACATTATGTATGAGAAGACAGATTCCGTTCCCCGACTCTCGCTCCGATACCGGTTTATTTTCGTATGAGTCAAATAGAGCGCCGGTATGATCGGAACAAAACAAAATGACAATCCTCAAGTCTTTTGTAGATATATTTACTAGATGAAACAAATGTCTTGTGGAAAATAGAACAAAATTTACAATCACAACAATGCATAAATTTTGATTTTATTTATAAACTATTTACAACTCTATAATAAAAGAAAATCAAACCCTAAAATCTATGGATCTTTTTCAATAGAAGTCTTTTAGAGTTTCCCTTAATTCATAAATTCCCATTATATTAACTTCGGTCTACATTGTTTCGACTATTATATCTTTTTTGATATTAAATCCGGTCACTTCAAACGTTTTTTAAAGCTTCAATGTTCAAAATAAAAGATTAAAAAAAGAAATCGAGGAAGTGAAAAAGCTTCACTCCGCGGAATGGTCATCAATTTTATTTCCTTTGCCGCTGGTATATTTTGCAAAATAACAAATAACAAAATTGTTGCCGAGAGGTATATTTATTATGACATCGCGTTATGTTTTGTTTCGTTTAATAAAATTTATGTTTTACTTATCCGAACGTAAGTTATTGAACAGGTGTAAAGATGGTCAGAGAGCAGAAGGAACATTTATTTTAAATTAGTTTGTTACTTCGCGGAAAACCCTTGTTTTAATTATTAGATTTGCAAAGTTTATTATAGTTCCTTAAAATTATTTGCATAAATACATCATTCGTATATAATATGCAAGTAATTCAACATATTTTAATAAATATTTATAGAGATTTTCGTGAAATTATTATATTTTAATTTTTTACCGCGAATACAACTCAACAATGACCAGTCAATAAAAAAAAATGTGACTCAACTCATTTACTTATGTGGTAGAATACTACTGTAATAGAAAACACACACAGAAGCTTCTTATACTAAAAAATATTTTTTACGACGCATATTCTAAAGCTTTCTTCACATTTGAGTGAATAGAATATTCAATAGAAGGCACTTTTCTCTACTTTCATTCCTGTCATTTATGACATGTGAAAATATTTGCTTTTATATAACGCTATATAAAATAACATAGGGTGTTCTTTTTGACCTTACAGTGAATTTTCATAACTATCTTTTTCAGTCAACCATTTGCTTAGTAATAATTGTGCGTTTATGCGAAGCTAAACCTTTGTAACATCTCTCATTGGTCAACGTTGACATCTGAGTGTCTATTCCAAATATTTTCGATTATAAATTAAATATGATATTTTCGTTATACTTAACGCTCGATAGGGGGCGCTGTACAAATATAATACAAATGTTGGCAATGACGTTACGAATACTTTCTCGCGGAGTTTTATTTCAGCAAAGAAATGGATTATTTGGATTATTGCCATGCTTTGACAATCTCATCAGAGAACTAATATTTACAACATTCTTGTTGATAATATTTGCACTTAGTACTATATAGATTATACGTTATTTCATTTAGTATAATTTCATATTCGTATCACTAAACTAATATGAACTCTGAGAATTCTTATAAGACAAGTTTGTATGACATGATTATTCAAAGGTAGAGGAAGACCAAAAAAGTATGGAATGACTGTGTGAAAGAGGATATGCGTAGGAAGGGGGTAGACTCGGATATGACGGCTGATAGAGATATATGGAGGAGTAGTACATACTGTGCCGACCCTCGATAGGATAAAGGCAGGTTGATGATGAGTTATTTTTCAAATTTATAACAAAGTCTACTTCTTCATAGTTATAAAAATAGAAACAAGATTTATTATTTTAAATATATCAGCAGCGCGATAGAAATTGTTGATCTTTTTATCATTGGAAAGATACGTACCAACTGAAACTGGTTCATGCAAAAATCATAGCGAAGCCGTAATTTCTAGATGAATCAGCGGAGTTGGAAAATTGGATAATGCCAGACGGCGCGGAGGGTGCGGGAGCGGAGGGGCACAGCGGGCACGGGGCTAAGTACCACAAAAAGTTGTAAAATAATTCCGAACTCCAAAAAGCTTCGACCCAAAGCTTGCAGTCAAATGCTCTACATTTTTATTTTCTTTTACAGACAATTTGAAAATGCTGAATGTCATGTACAAAAAACGTAAAGTGATTAACAAAAGAATCGGTTTCCAAAAGACGAAGTTACAACCAATATTTATCACCATATCATAACAAAGCAAATCATTATCACGTGTAGTTTCCTTCCTGGGGGGTCTGAAATTAGTCGGTAGCTAAACTAGAATATACGTGAGATAAGCCGTGATTATTCATTATCATCATCATCATCTCCCTGGCCTTATCCTATTCGTGCGAGGTTGGAACACATTGGTTTTATAAACCTCAAACTTTTGGATTAATTTTTTCAGGCGCACGCCTGCCCGGCGCCAACACTAATTAAGAGATTAAAGCTTTGATTTTTAATTAGTACATTTTAATGCCTCACAAAAACAGACACGAGTACAAACCGAATACGTAAGCACGAAATAATATACATTTATCAAGCCATATATTTGTATTAAGGAAAAACCTTGCTGCGAAAATATCAAGCCTTGTAAAACGTTCATAGCGAACAGCAGTTCACGCTTCAAAAGCTCGATAA